TTTAAAAAACCGATGACAATCTAATCTTCTCCAATCCGTTCTTAATTTCGACTCCATTTTTAAAAGGTGTGCTGAATTTGTGGTTACCAAGATTAACATGACTTACTGATCGTCAGCGAAGCAAATATTTAAACCCCACCATTTTCGTAGCCATAGAACATACATGAAAATGATTGATTCCCGAGTAAACTTAACATGTAGGTCTAATGGAAAATAAGTTAATGTCGGGTAAATTCTGTTCGAAGCTGGTACATGTGCCTGTTTTTGAATACATTCTCACGGCGATATGTGCGGTTAGCGTGACATATTTGATTAATTGGTAACTTAACGCAGTATTGACGTAGAGATCTTATAATATTCCCGGTGCAGTAGACAAAGTAGCCAATAAAACATTTGTGTGAATAGGTAAATATTTTGAATATATTTGAGGCCATGGATCACCAGTAGTTAGCACACCCTTGAATGTAATACGATTTGACAATAAACGATTTAGGATTATTGCACCCTACAAGCAGGAACCGATATTTCCTGTCTGTGGAATGTTTCTTCTACATGTCCTAGCAATCGTCTGTATTTAAATGTTAAGACTACTACATTGTTTGCCTAATACTTGCTCATTCAGTGACCTTGAATATAATTGGATTGGTTATTAAACGAATTACGGTTAGTTCAAAGGGTTGCAAGGACCAGCGTTTCATATATCTCGAAGGATATACCAAACTGGTTTCATTTTTATTTGGTTGTGTTGAGTGCAACAGGATTCTATGATGATTGCAGAAATAAAGTTGTTGAAAAAAATGGTCTGAGGGCCGTACATTTCAATGATTGAAACTTGAGAATGATAAACACGTTAATGCCAAAGTTGGTCCACATCAACAGCCATTTTGTTGATCAACATGCGGTTAGTTCGTTTATGTGATTATGTTTCTCAAAACAAATGTAGAGAGTTATCATGAAATTAACAGGAGAAAATTCAGTATTGAATGTTAGATAACTTACGGGTTATTGCCGTAAGGTCAAATTACATATTTAGCCCGAGCAATTTTTGTAAATCCCGTGCTGGTCACCTGGCCTCCCTTGGTGTGCCCGAACTTCTTTGACACACATGTTGGGATTGCAATTTGTTTCAGGGTTCACTCAGTGTGTTCATGTCAAACACAGTTTATCCACAACATTTGCCGCGGAACCGTATTCAAACGACGCGAATAGCAGCGTCCTTCATGAGGGTTTGAGGACCGTACCCGGTTCCAAAGCCTAGGTGTGGGAAAAATAATCGCAGCAAGGAACAGAATAGCTCGCAATTAAGCGAGTGCGAAAATCAAAAGCAACATTGCGGTAAGTAAAGCACACATTTGACTTTGAAT